TATAAAAATGTATAAAAAAAATAACAATGCTGTCTATTCCTACGGAGACCCGCACATGACATGCACGAAAAAATAAATCAATTGTGCGCACGATTTACTAATTTGTTCCCTCGATGTACTAAAATGTAAATTGTACGCACAATTTAGCAAATCGAGGGAACAAAATAGTAATCGTGCGCACAATTTATAAATCCAGGGAACAAAAAAGTAATCGTGCGCACAATTTATAAATCGAGGGAACGAAATAGTAATCGTGCGCACAATTTATAAACCGAGGGAACTAAATAGTAATCGTGCGCACAATTTATAAATCGAGGGAACGAAATAATAAATCATGCACACAATTTAGCAAATCGAGGGAACGAAATAGTAATCGTACGCACAATTTATAAATCGAGGGAACGAAATAGTAATCGCACGCACAATTTATAAATCGAGGGAACGAAATAGTAAATCATGCACACGATTTAGCAAATCGAGGGAACAAATAGTAATCGTGCGCACATTTTAGTACATCGAGGGAACAAATTAGTAAATCGTGCGCATGATTTATTTATTTTTTCGTGCATGTCATGTGCTGGGCTCCGCATATTCCAAAAATGTATTTTTAGTAATCAAAAACATGGAAATAACAGTGAATTCCAGGCCTGGAAAAGTCTGAGAAAAATCTTCTAAAGTCATGGAAATTTTAATAATGAATATGAATCTTTCTAGGTTTGTTCTGCTGTAAAATATTTCATTGTGATCAAACTGCTCTTTGCTATTGCTTGTGTTGAGTAAAACATTCATTAATCTGTCCATTGGTCTAATTGGAGACATTTGTACACTAATATGTATAATTACTCAAGTCTATTTTTTCCAAAGCCTATCATCTGACATACAAATGGAAATCCAACCCAGCAATCTTTGTAAAATGGTAAGAATTACTTGTGAATGGGAGTGACTGGAACATGAGGTCTAGTGTAACGCACCTTTGGTCGCGTCGTGGAGTTAATGGATGGGGAGAACACAGTGCCAGATTTTCCAGCTCTTCAATCTCTCCTGTCCTCATATGTACAGTAAATCATTCCCTTTATTCATCCACTCTCGTTACGCTCATACATTTACAAGCCCTTTTTATATATATTTTTTTTATAAGAAGGATTGTATAAATGTAAACTTCTGAGTACAAATGTCTGTTCGCAGCTTTAATTTTAAAGAGAAAATGAAGACGTGTGCTAAATCAGATACTGATGAAAATAAAGTCCAAAGCATACTTTAGTTTTAACGCAAACACTAAGCATTTGCTTACAACCGAATGCACAGCCTTTCAATGTAGACTTTAATACTATTAGGAGTGTTCGATATATATCATCTGCGATAATATCGTAAATGTTGTTTTAAAGGGGTCATATGATGCTGCTAAAAAGAACATTATTTTGTGTATTTGGTGTAATGAAATGTGTTTATGCGGTTTAAAGTAAAAAAAAACACATTATTTTCCACAACACTCTAAAGAGAAAGGAAAAAATGAAATTGCATCATATGACCCCTTTAATGATATGCGATTTGACGTTATTGAGTATTTTGCAAAAACCATTATATGTCCCGTTTTTGCGCTATTTTGACAACAAAAATAATTCAGACAACAAAAATAATTCCGTTCTGCATCTTTGTTGCATTGCATCGTGTTGCGTAAACATAAAACCCTGTCTGCATTTGTGATCAGAGAAATGACAAACAACAAGTGCTACTCCACACTGCCCAAAACTCGCGTTTGAATCATCAGTGGCAAATCCTTTAAATGAAAACGTACTTACGTGAGTCAGAACTGCCGGCATTTTAGTCTAACGTTACTCTTCCAGGATCAGTAAACAGTCCTCCATAAAATGTGCCGGCGATCCACAGCACTAAGTTGATGTATTCCCTCAGCGACCAGCACAGATCAGCTCTAGGCATGACGAAGCGGATATCGTCCTCTTTTGGAAGATCAAACAAAGTAGTTTCGCTTTCACAACGAAGCACACAGCGGCCTAGCGTGAGCGAAAGCCCCGGCTTAGCGTGAGCTGAAGCCGGGCAAGAGTGAGCTGAGGCGGCGGGGTCGAGAACGGCGGTCCCGGCGAAGGAGCGGTGAAAACGGTGAAAGCATATCCGGTGATCCACAGCACTAAGTTGATGTATTTCCTCAGCGACCAGCACAGATCAGCTCTAGGCATGGCGAAGCGGATATCGTCCTCTTTTGGAAGACCAAACAAAGTAGTTTCGCTTTCACAATGAAGCACACAGCGTCTTCAGGACATGGCTGCAGCGTCAACAATACTACAGCGAGAATAAAAGTTACGCTTTCTTTCTTTGCGTGAACATTTGGGGGCTTTATGCAAATCTTCCCACATAGTGAGGTAGGTATGTGGGGGCGTGTTCGAACGAGCCGTTTTAGGTAGGTGTGGCTAACTCTTAACTTTTATAAAGAATATCTCTTTGGATTTGAGACTTTAGTCTTTGCAACTTTACAGATCTTCTTTATGCACCAAGAGCTTGTAACACTCTAAAGAGAAAGGAAAAAATGAAATCGCATCATATGACCCCTTTAATGATATGCGATTTGATGTTATTGAGTATTTTGCAAAAATCATTATATGTCCCGTTTTTGCGCTATTTTGACAACAAAAATAATTCAAAACAAAGCCACAGCACTGTTTTGCGTCTCTGGGCAGCATGACGGTGTTTCGTTCCTGAATGAATGACTAGTTTAAATGATTCGGTTCAATCGCAATGACTCACTTATTAACAGTGACTTGCTGGCGATTTCATATTCAAAGTATCTTTTATTATTTAAGTAATTTCAAATATCAGTATTCAATGTTTTATGTTTAATATATAAAAAAAAGTATGCATTTGTAATTGCAGGTTAAATGCATTCATGTCTTGCATTAAACAGTGTGTAAATACATCTAAATGCCACTTCAGATGCAACTTCTGTGTTTCCTCTGCATTGCAAAGATGAATTTTATTGATACTGATTCCATTTGCTTGGTAACAGCCCAAATGTCGTATTATTCTAATTCACTGATTAAACGTAAGAATTTGACTCAAAAGATAATGGACACTTTTCTAAAGCTTTACTGTATAAAGGTAAAAATGCCCATAAAATATAAAAATCAGTTTAAACTTATTGGAAAAGATTAATTTCTATCAGTGTGAACTGACCACCACACAGAATATGAAGAATATCAAAAACTTTAGGAGTCAGCTGTCCACAGTAGTCCTTAAGGTACCAGCACAACAACACACTGAGCAAAATATCGTCTAATTATCATTATCGATAAAATCCCAGAAAATATTGAGATATAATTTTTTGTCAATATCACACACCCCTATGTACAGGCTCTCAACACTTAAAATTCCACATCTGTGTCCAGTATTTGCTTAATTTCTCTCTAGAAGTAACTAATAAAAAGGCCTCCAAACTCATTTAAACTAGAGTTTCATTTATCTCTGTTGCATCTACAATAGTTCCCTTACTATTTCATCCTAACTGTACACTTCATGTAATTTTACAGTAAAACATAGTTAAATATACAATTTTTGGAAGTAAAAAAGTATAATTTACAATTATTTAAATTGATAAATTAATGTTTTTTCCCCCCATTATTTTATAGTCATATGTTACCATGATTGTGTTTTGTATTTGTGTGTATGACACTGTACACCTTCCATATATCAATACGCATCATGTATCTATACACCTTTATATATTATTAATATTATTATTAATTATTTGTAAGAGTTTATGTTATCAGTAATGAACAATAGGATTTTTATTTTGAATCTTAAATTGATAAATTCATGTTTTTCCCCCATTATTTTATAGTCATATGTTACCACGATTGTGTTTTGTATTTGTGTGTATGACACTGTACACCTTCCATATATCAATACGCATCATATATCTATTCACCTTTATATATTATTATTATTATTATTAATTAATTATTTGTAAATTACAAAATGTACAGGTTGCTTTGTAAAGATGTTTACATTTTACTGAATTATTCTGGCAACCACATCTGCCATTTTCTTTTTTTTCTGTTAAAACAACATGTACATAGTATGAAAAATTCCTTATTTAAAGAATACCTGAATGACCAGCTATATTTGCCATTACATGCAATATACAGCAGGGAATACTACATAAGATATCGCATCCCACAATGCATTGCAAAGCACTTGACTTGACATGTATGCATAGAAAGTATTCTGTATTTTAAACACTCCTTTTCTAACATAAGGGTTATTTTACACTAAATTTGATGCCAAAATAATGCTCTTATTTACAATATGATAACTGGGAATCAACGCGATGAGGTCCTGGGACAACTATTGCCATACTACTTTCTTAAACATTAATGGAACAAGAAACATTTACTGTTTCTCTCAATACTTCTAAAAACCTGTGGTTAATAGTAGATTAATAGGTAGTCCGCCCAAAACGTCATTGGCTGAGTAAGCTGTCAACATGTTGGGCCGCTCAAACAAACAGAGCAAAATTGTCAGCGCCACACTTTTTACACTCTTCGTAAGTCATCCTTAGTCTTTATTACATATTAAACCAGGAAAGGACAAAAGTATTTTAACATCAAAAAACTTTAAGCTGCATAAAGTTTAAATATACACAAGTTGTATACGTGTGCGCGTGAGAGCGAGAGAAACATGGCGCGAGGCAGCCAGTGTGTTTTATACGGTGTGTTAAACAGAGAACAAAGTGAAGTCAGTTTTAATGGTCAAACATTAAAATGCCTTCCCTCAAGCAGCCAACCCAAGATCACACACTCACACACACAAACGTTCACACACACACACACAGCTTCTATTCAAATGGAAACGTTCAGCGCCGTGGGTCAATGCTGGATTGAAACTGTTAACAGATCCTGGTCTGGCTGCGCTCCTACACTTCCTGCATGTAAACAGTGCGAGGATCACTGGAGGCAAAGACGCACACACACATTGCAGTGCTAGGTTACCTTTGCTGCTTTGCTGTTTTTTGGCAGCGGCGGCGGAGTCCTCCGACTGAGCCAGACGTCTGAGCACGTCTGCCAGCGCGGCCTTCATCACCGTCAGCTCATCTTCCTGCTGCTGCACCCGCAGCTCCAGAGACGACAGGCGGTCCTGCACGTCTGATGTGCTCGCCGCAGAAATACTGTCATCTGCCAGAGAAAGAGAGATGAAGATGACTTGCTCATCATATAGTACAGATGCACAATATAGAAGTCTTGTCAGATATATTTTCTCTTCTTTGGACAACAATATCATTGTCAATATTATAAATTATTAACATTAAAATTGTTCAAAGAATTAAAAACACAACATATTAGGTGTGTCTATATGTAGCTCCTGCAGCAAAACATTTTATTTATATATATATATATATATATAAAATCACAATGCAATTTTGCGCAACTTGTCTGTGAACAACGGCTCTGTTTAGTTAATACTGCTCAATGTGAAAGCACGCACGTGATGGAGATTTACCGCTGATTACAGAACCGGCTTTACTGACAAGATGCGCGTTAAATATCGCTTGCGATTTATCGTGCAGCCCTACATTAAATGTTTATTGAGCAGCTAATCAGTATATTAGAATGATTTCTGAAGGATCATGTGACACTGAAGACTGGAGTAATGATGCTGAAAATTTAGCTTTGATATAACAGGAATAAATTATATTTTAAAATATAAAACAGTTATTTTAAATTGTAACAAAATTTCACAATATTACTGATTTTACTGTATTTTTTTTGATCAAATAAATGCAGCCTTTGTGAACCTTAGAGACTTCTTTCAAAACATTAACAAAATCGTATTTATTCCAAACTTTTGACCGCAAGTATATTTTATATATAAATCCTTTTTATCTAGAATTATTTCAGCAAATAAAAGCGTAAACTATTCCACAGAACTCTCATACTGTAGCGTTAATTCAAAACAGTTCTCTGTTGTCTAGATGAATATATCCATAGAGCATTAGTGGACACACTGTTCATATAGAGCACCACTGTAGCCGTTCTTCAAAGCACATTTCCCATTGATAAGTGACATCTGTGCTTTCCCAATCTTGAAGAGCACCAGACACCACTAATGTCAACAAACAACATGGAGAATGGGCTTGGGGCTGTACACAAAACGGAAAAAGGCAAAAAAAAGGCAAAAAAAAAAATATGAATGAGACAGTGGGAGACGTGGGCAGCACAGCTTATCAGTTACAGATGGAATCGGTGGTAAGCAAAGGCCATTTTATGCATTAAGTCTTGGCTCTTTCCTTTAGCAATTTCATTGGCTGCTGCTATTCATGCTCTTTTGCTTGTCAGAGACTATGAATGCATCTAAACACAGGTAGGCTGGATTTCAGAACCATGAACCATGATTTGCTACTTGTTATTGCTGATCATAAACAGGTGTCATTTCATCAATATTTGTTGTCGCAAAAAGAAAGTACATTTTATTGAAAATGTTATATTTAAATTGTATATTTTATAAGCAAATATTTGTTAAAAGTGAATTGTGTCCACTTTGAGTACAGGAAGTACAGTAGCACTTATATACGCCCTCAAAGCTAACAGACATGAACTAGCAGTCAAACACGACAGAACGAGAAGAGTCGGTCCACTAGTGTGAGCTAAGCTTAAAGGGATAGTTCACCCCAAAATTAAAATTCTGTCATTAATTACTCACCCTCATGTCGTTCCAAACACATAAGACCTTCGTTCATCTTCGGAACACAAATTATGATATTTTTGATTAAATCCGAGAGCTTTCTGACCCTCCGTAGACAGCAACGCAACTGACACATTCAAAAAGTTAAAATAGTCCATGCGACATCAGTGGTTAATTAATGACAGAATTTTCATTTTTGGGTGAACTATCCCTTTAATAAACTGTGTTTTCGTTTTGTCTGTCTGGAAATGGGGTATTTTAAAAAAATTATATAGATATCATGTTAATATTACACATTTGATAAAATCGTACATAATCCAAGACAGTAGGTGGCAGTATTGAACCTTAACGCTAGTTGCCACCCATCTTAAAACAGAAACAATAAGACAACAGAAAGGTGCAGAAATTTAAATCAAATGTAATCCAATGTAAAATAATACTGCATAGTTTTCTTTTTAGAAATAAAATATAGATTAATCCTTAGTTACAAGTTATTCAGTCAAGATCAGTGAGTGATTTTCTTCTTTTGTTCTTGAATTAAAGGGATAGTTCACCCAAAAATGACAATTTTGTCATTAATTACTCACCCTCGTGTTGTTCCAAACCCGTAAGACCTTCGTTCATCATTCAACCCGTAAGACCTTCGTTCACGCCGGATCTGGGTCAGCGCCGGCACCACCACACGCTCGCGTCATGGTACTGTCGTAAACGCGCGTCCACAAGTGACGCAGTAGAGACGAAAATGTGGAATAAAGTCATTATTTTTGTTTTCTTTGCGCAAAAAAGTATTCTCGTAGCTTCGTAACATTACAGTTGAATCACTGATGTCACATGGACTACTTTGTCATCTTGGTACTTTTCTGGACCTTGAACGTGCTAGTTCCCTTGCTGTCTATGGGAGGGTCAGAGAGCCATCAAATTTCAGCAAACATATCTTAAATTGTTCTTAAATTGTCTTACGGGTTTGAAACAACACGAGGGTGAGTAATTAATGACAGATTTTAATTTTTGGGTGAACTAATCCTTTAACATTAATTGCACAGACAGCAGCAGGTATAGGCTTCTATCACTTTAAGACCTAATGCACAGATCCAATATACTGATACAAATGCATTTTTTTCACAACTGTTTATGTTCACTAAAGACAAAACTGACTGTGTTTACGAGGTTATGACATAATTTAATAACAAAATTGTGTAATTATTTAAGCGCAAGAAGATTATTTAAGTACAAAATATTCTGTACTATACGACAGGCATCTTTTTTGAGTGCATGTTTTTGATGTGTGTACAGCACAGAAAACAGAGTAAGAGTGCCCAATTGACTTCTCTTTCACATCTTCTTGCACTAAATCCAATTCTAAAATGAAACTGGTTCTCGACATCCAAACCTAGCTCACCCTCCTGCTGTTTTAAACCTTTCTTCTGTGAAAGAAGAAAATAATATATTCTGAAGAATGCTGGTAAACCAAACAGTTTTGACTTTTAGTGTATTGACAAAAAATCATTGAGACATTTCTTAAATTATCTGCTTTTATGTTTCACAGAAGAAGTAAAGTTTTTGGAACGACATAAGGGGAGATTTTTAATTTTCGGGTTAACTTTCGCTCTAAGTGCTTTTCTTCGCAGCAGAAGGTTAGCAGTATTACTAGTGCTGCAGTGCATTAGAGGCCTTTAGTGTTGGGTTCTGGATGTGGGGCATTGGATGGTGCTGCAGCGCTGCAATCAGCTGCCAGGCGTTACTGTGGTTGGGATTTTGATTGCTGGACTGCTTCCCTGATCGAAGAGGCCCTGCATTCTGAGCTGCGGTTAGCTAGCTTAAGGGGCATAAAATACCATATAACAACTCAAACTCTCACACACCAACACATCTCTGATCCAAGCTTGAAACCAAACCATGGGACATTTTTACACCACTAATAAATCACTGGAAGTACTCACACTCTCACCCACACAAAATTCACAAACAAAACACATGGGCACAAATACAAGAAGATTATTACCACACTGCACATCCAGCTCTTGAAATATCGGCAAATTCCCTACATAGCGCTAATGATAAGGGTGCCTGCAGTCTTTAGGTCACTGCGGAGCTCCGTGTGGAGATGGGGAGGAGGTTCAGGAATGCCCTGGCACACACTCACACAGACCAACCCTCAACCTAACAGGAAATCAGTGGGTAAATACCCAAACAAAACACGTCAAACAAGCCAACAAAGGGACCCTCTGTGCACAATAACCCAGAGTCCATTATTAGGCATGAAGCCAAGTACATTAGCTAGATACTAGGCCAACAGCTGAACTAACCAACTTTACAGTTAGCTGTTAGCACAAAGATCAATCGGTCCAATCTGGCAACCGCAATCAACCTCCTGAAGCCGTCCAAGCCATCTGCTGTCGTGAGTCAGAGACGCCAAGCGAGCGCAAAACTACTGATCGATACTTAGTCTGTCAGAGTTGCATATCAAACCTCTCATTCCTGCCTCTGTGAATCACGAATACTACCATTAAAAATTAATCACCTTCATAGCTGTGCTGTTTGCTTTATTTCTTTTTTAAAGTTTTGACATCTGAAGGCCAGATTATGGCAGCATTACAAAGAATAATCAGGGGTGAATATCTGATGTTATATCACCCGTGAGAAGCTGGGGGTAAAACTGAATTTGATGTTAAAATTATGTGCTTTTTGATTGATCATGGCAGCAGTAATTCATTAAATGATTGGGCAATACTTTTGTGGTTATGTTCATAACATTACCTGCATTTGCATTTCCTTTAGTGATGCTAGATTGAAGAAAATAGCGTGTGCAAATAAACAATGCAATCAGGAAGCAGAATTATTAGTGATTTCCTCTCTTCTGATCTACATCAGATCACAAAGCCAGTAACAGTGTGACCACCAAGGCTTTCTATAAGTTAGGCTCTTTCTGAGGCAAAGCAGCCAAACATAACGCTTATAGTTTGAAGAATTCTTCTGTAGAAGATCAAACCTGAGGCATTAATATGGGGTAGCTCCTTCACAGGATTGGCAATGCAAATCTAATGCTACAAAGTGAGAAAGGGACAGTTCACCCCAAAAAAAAAAATTACCCCATGATTTACTCACCCTCAAGACATCCTAGGTGTATATGGCTTCTTATATCTTCTTTCAGACGAATACAATCGGAGGTATATTAAAAATAGTCCTGGCTCTTCCAAGCTTTATAATGGCACTGAATGGGGGTCGAGATTTTGAATCCCAAAAAGTGCATCCATCCATCATAAAAAGTACTCCACACGGCTTTGGGGAGTTAATAAAGGCCTTCTGAAGTGAATCGATGCATTTGTATAAGAAAAATATCTTATAAATAATAAATAATATAATATAAAATAATAATAATAAATATATTATTAACAGTAATCTCTAGCTTCCGCTAACTGGTGTACAGGTAAGTGTGTTCACGAAAGTGGCTTTGAAGAAGAAAGTCATATACAGCTAGGATGGCTTGAGGGAG